TCATTAAAATTAAAGTTTTCTTCTCTGTGAAAGACACTGTCAAGAGCACTGTGAGAAGACAAGCTACGCACTAAGAGAAAATATTTGTAGACACATATCTGATAAAGGACTATTATCCAAAATACACAAAGAACTCTTAAAATTCAACAATAAGAAAGCAAACAACCTGATTGAAAAATGAGCCAAAGACTTTAACAAACACCTTACCCAAGATACACAGATGGCGAGCAAGCATATGAAAAGATATTCCACATAATATGCCATCAGGGAAATGCAAATGAAAAGAACAATGAGAGATACCTCAATACACCTATTAGAACAGTCAAAAATCCAAAAACACTGACAACATCAATGGCAGATGAAAATGTACAGCAACAGGAATTCCTATTTATTGCTCATGAGAAAGCAGAGTGACAACCGAGCACTTTGGAAGACAGTAACCGTTTCTTATAAAATAAACATCCCTTAGCATATGACCCAGGAATGGTCGCCCTTGGTTTTCACCCAAGTGGACTGAAAATGCATGGCCATACAAAAACCTGCGTCCAGATGTTTATAGCAGCTCTAGGTATAGTTGCCAAAATTTAAAAGCAACCAAAATATGCTTTCAGGGGGTGAATAGATAAACTGTGGAATATTTTTCGGCGCTGAGAAGAAATGAGCTATGAAGCTATGAAAGGCGTGGAGGAAACTTATGTGCATGTTCCTAAGTGAAACGGGTAAATCTGAAAAGGTTGCAGGCAGTGTGATTGCAACTATGTGACACCAGAAAAAGGCAAAAGTATGGAGACAGTCAGAAGATCAGTGGTTGCCAGTGGCTGGGGGGAGGGAGGGATGAATAGGCAGAACACAGAGGATTTTAGAGCAGTGAAATATTCTGTACGATACTCTGAGAGTGGACACATGTCATTGTATGTTTGCCCAAACCCATAAACTGTACAACACCAAGAGTGAACCCGAGAATGAACCCAAATGTAAATGCTGGGTGTTGAATGATAATGATCTGTGAATGGACGTACAGCAAGAGTAACAAATGTATCATTCTGCTGGGCGAGAGTAACAAATGTATCGTTCTGCTGAGCGAAGTTGACAGTGGGGGAGGCTATGTGTGGGTAGGGCCAGGGGCCTATGAGAAATCTTTGTACCTTTCTCAGTTTCACTGTGAAACTAAAACTGCTCTAAAAAATAAAAATGTTCTACATCTCCATATGCTATTTGTTACACAGGTATACAGAGTGGCCAAAACTCCACTTTAAACGAGTTCATGGTCTTGTATGTGACATTATTACACCTTCCCAAAGTTGATTCGAAGAGAAACGAAAGACTCCGCTGGTGCGCTGTCTGCCGAACAAAATAGAGGACAGCGAAAGAGGCGGCACAAGGAGAACGTCACAGTCGGTGGAAGGTAAAGGTCATGTGGACTTTGCCTGTGGAAATGGAAAGAGTGTATTTAGAGGTAAAATCAACATGTCTTGGTGACTGGCTGAGCAACAGGAATGTCAAGGGCAACTCCCACGTGTCTGACCTGAGTCACCAGCGGAGAATGGTGGGCAGGCCACACTGACCGGGGGCCTGGAGAGGACAGGCAAGCTCAGTGGGGTCTCCATCTCCCTAGAGCTATCGATTCCATCACTCTAAACACAAGAGTGCCTTTTGTCTCAGGGAAGACTGAGGCAAGGGATTTATTCACAATATGTGATACAGGTAGAGGCAGACCCACGGAAGTGTTCCAGACTCCCATTGGCAGGCAGCCCTGTTGGAATGAGGAGGGTGATCTCCCTCCTGCTCTGTCTTTTTTCATCCCAGATGGATGAGCAGGCAGCTGACTTTTCTGACTCATTCGGCAAATTCCAACAGCATCCTCATCTGAGACGCTCTGGTCTCCACTGGGCAAGATCTGAAGACCACACTTCAATTGGATTGGAGAAAAGGGCAGTGGAATTCTAATGCTCGGAAAGCCAGGAAAAGAAATGCAAGGCACAGATACCCACAGTAAGAAATAAAAAGCATGTGTCCAGCCTCTAGCAAAATTGACTTCCACAAATAACACCGCAGCCCTGGGGAACAGCAGAGACATTTGACCAGGCAGCAGCTGTGCAGAGGACGCTATTTAAAGACTCTGCTTCTGCAGCCCAAGAACTCTGGGCTTAAGATTGGATTGGAAAGCGGAGAGAAGACAGCAAAGACTGAGAAAAGAGTCAGATTTGGGAAAAAAACATCACCAGGTGGTTGGCTGCTGATGTGAACCCTGAAAATGTGAAATGAGCTTACTTTAATAAAATTATGTCTGTCCAAGTCCATTTGCCTGAATTAAATGTGTTCATTCATGGAAAGCACTAGAAGCATCCGGCACACAGTGCTTGCTAACGGGAAACCGGCATTGTTATCATTAGTGTTTGTCCCTGTACCTACCTGTATATATCTGCCCAGAGACGGAGAAATGTGCATTTATAATGATATGTTATTGCTAAAATGGTGATTCTGTTTTTAACTTTCTTATTTGCAGGGTTTTTTGGGAATCTGTGAATTGTGTACAGTGAATGTATTTTGTAAAAACCATAAGGCATTCTGGGGGAACAAACTGAGGCTCTAGAGTCAGGGTCCCCAGGTTTGAACCCCTCTGCTGAGTAGCTGTGTTACCTAGAGCCATTTATTTACTTTCTTTCTCCGAGTCTGTCTTCTTTTGCATAAAAGCAGGTAGTAATGTTACCTACTTCGCTGGGTGGTGATGAGAATTAGATGAGATAATTGAGGTACAGAGCTCAGCATGGTACCTGGCAGAGAGTACAGGCGAGATTAGTGATGACTGCTGTTATTAGCTGTAGATATAGTAGCAGCTGTTATTTTCTAGCAGGGGAGGGACCATGTTCTATTCACCCCAGTGTTCGTGGCACATAATAGTCACTCCAGAAATGATAGTTTAGCTGGACCCACATCAACCACTGTCCTGGGAACATTTTCTGTCAAGGTAGAAAAAGTGAAAAGTCTGCAAGTACCTTCCCCTTCAAGGTCAAGGATTGGGTCCTTCCGGGGATTGGGAAGCAACAGTTCTTTCTCTGAAAGCGCTGAAGATCTCCCAAGACTTGAGGCTCTTAAAGGGTCGAGCCACTGTTTTCTTATTCTCCCGTATGCTGGCCAGCCTGAAGCCGGAGCCATTGCTGTCCAAGGCCCTATGCTATTCTTCATGAACTGTAGGCAAGGCATTCCCATGGGAATTTGTAATAATGCAAAACAATTATGGAGAAACTATAGCCATTGACCCACTGACTGTGTGCAAGTGTGGGGGGCACACTGGGTGATATAGCCTTCTTTTGTATGTCTGAAACAATCCTCCAGAAGGAAGGAGTCCTTCCCATGTTTTCTAAATGTTCTACAACAAACATGGTTGTGTTTTAAAACATAAAACAAAATAAGAAATAAAAACTTTAAAAAAACCTATTCTTTGCGACCAAGGTCCCAGGAATTCAGGACAGGCACAGTGGCTACCTCTCTTAGTCCTGATGGGATGCAGAGCTTCGTTACGTAAAAAAGGACAGACAGATTGTGCCTGCAAAGTCATTCCTGTCGTTTGAGACTGATAGGTCTCACGCCATCCACAGTCATATACAGCACATTAGAGCAATACTGTTTTTCAATCTATTAACTTGACATATTTCTTGAGCACTTACTATGTGCCAAGAAACACTGTAGGTGTTTGATTGTTTGCTAAATCTGGCAACCCTATATTGAGGGCTCTCGCAAGAGAAGAATGCAGCGATAGCAGAAATAAATGACTAGGAGACACAACAGCTGTGTGTGGCTCTGGTGACTACAAAAGTGACTGAATGTCAGCCACGTTAAAGCTGCCCCTGAATGTGACAGTGATGTGTGAGCATAATAGTGAAAGTGACTAACTGGGTAGTAATGAGGACAGCTGTGTAACCCAGTGTGGCCTTGCTAAGTATTGGTGGCAGTGAAAGGCGAGTGACAGTGACAGGGAAGACAACTGAGAGGGTGACAGCTGGGTACACAGTCCGTGCTATGTTGTACAGAACTGTTTGAAGTTTGTGGCCATTGAAAGTGTTAACATTTCGGACAGTGACAGTAGAAATGATGGACCATTGGAAGCAACAATGCAGCAGTTCTGTTGGTGAGTGGAATTTGTGACTAACGACGGTGATGGAGTGTGGGAGTCAGGCTGTCAGTGACAGCTCTCAGAACGACTGAATATTGACACCGTGGAGGTAACAGCTGTAACCACAGAGGGAACTCGGCATTGTACTGAGACAACTGGAACTGAGCGGCATGACTGGCAGTTGACAGCAAAATTGGCTGCGTGTCAGTGACAGAGTGACAGAGTGAAGTTCCGTGGGTCAGCGCAGATATGATTTAATTAGTCTGACACTGTCTGGATCTGACTTCATCTGTTTATGTGAAGATGGCAAGAGGAGCTTCAACGTGGACAAGGTGAGTAAGAGAGAAATTGAGTAAATGAACAGGCTGTCAATACTTTCCCTCCGAAACCCCAAACACTAAAACTGGGAGGAGAGGGAGGTGGGACCAGAATGCCTTCAAGTCATCATGATTGGTCAATACGGGTCTGTTAGCCTATCACGTCTGAGCGGTGTCAAGCCTCTCCACCAATGAGAATATGTTTGGGTACCAGCCTGAGGTCAAGTCTCCGTATTGCCTGTGATCGTTATGTTTTGGAAAAAGGAAGAGAAATTTTTTGTGTCTACTTGCCTGCCATTCTTTGAAATAAGATCCTAACTCTAGAGCGACCTTAGAGGCAGTGTAACTCGATTAGAACTTTCCTAAGGGAGCGCTGGGAGGAGGGAGGGGAGGAATGGCCAGCCAGCGTCAGGTGTCAGGGGCGAGGCCAGCGGCCTGCTTGCCCCAGAGACCCAGCATTGGCGGAGAGCTCGTGCGTGACGCAGGACCCTCCCCCTAAAGGCCCGCCCCTAGCACGTGACTACGGTGCGCTGGGCAAGCCGCGCCTCTTGCTTACCACTTCTGTCCCTTCCGCGCCGGCCTCAAGATGGCCGCCTCGTGGCGTCTCTGGTGCTGTTGAATGGAGAAATCTTTATTGTTCCCTTCGGGCAGGAGTGTTCGTGTTCTCTATGGCGCTGTCAATAAAGAACGGCAGTTTGAATCGGTGCTGAACAGGTAACCATAGAAACGGGGCTGGGACTCCACGTGGAGACCCCTTTTATAGCTGAGGCCCTGGAGGCTCCCCAAATGAGGGGATCACAGAGACCCTTCCGCGTGGCGAACACTGCAGGGCTCTGCCCAGTTCCAGTCGTCCCTCGCCCTGGGACGTGGGTTCCCTGGGGCGCCCTACACTTGGAGCGCAGGCTGGACGTTAGTCTCCCTAGGAGAAAGGCTGCAGCTCGGGTGCTGCCCCCCGTGGGGCCTTCTCTTCGTCCGTGGCCTGCCCTAGCCCCGCACCTCCTGCTAGTCAGCGTGGTGAGATGGTTGGCCTCTCGCTGCGGTTATTCTCAGTCTTATCCCCCTCTCCCACCAAGTCCCTGCACTAGGCAAGACAGTCTGGCCTTGGGCCAAATCTGTCTCCTCACCTCCCCCTCCCAATTTTGTCTGCCGGGAGCTAAGAATGTTTTTACATTTTTGAATTGCTATGGTTGTATGCAGTCGAATTCCGGAGTCCGTAAATGGAGTTTTATTGGAACACAAGCCGTGCTCATTGTTTATGTAGTCCGTGGCTGCTTCCCTGCTATTAGGACAGAGTAGGGTAGTTGAGTGTGTTGCACGGCAAGGCCCGTGAAGCTGAAAATAACGCCCTTCACAGAAAGAGTGCCAACCCCCTACCCTAGGCACAAGTAGACTGGGTCAGTGTCGCCTAGCATTTCTTCTGGTCCCTTCCTACGTAATGGGAAACTCCAGTCACAACTGTCCCGTGCACCTGGGCTTTTTGACAAAACACTCTGCCTTCCAATACCTCTTGTGGTGTTCAAAGTGAGAATTGCTTCCCCTACTTTAAATAATAATACCGGGCACCCAGCTTCTATAAGAAGTCAGGCGGTTAATTTATTCATATGCAGCGTTTTTGTGCTAACAACACTTGATGAGCAGGTGTCCATGTTTCTATTTAAGAGGAGGAATTTTGATTCTGAGTGGTTCAACTGTTTTAGGGTGTGGCGAGATCATCCCTAGAAGCCCCTTTCCTGGTGACTCTTGACATACTGCTCAGAGTGTCGTCTTTCAGGTCTGTCAGCCTGGGGCTATTGTTTCTTCCTCGGAGTTGTATCCAGTCTTTGCGTGGTTTATGGAGATTTAATTATAACCCCGAAGTGAAATCTCTCTCTACTTGGCGAAATCATCAAACTTCTGCCACACTCTACTTTCTAATTTAGATGCCTTTCATGTCTGGCAGTAGTTCCCAAACCTAGCTATTCATCACAAGTTTAACAAATGCTTTCAGAACCCTATGCTTGCCTGTGTGCATTTGTGAATCATTCGGTATTTGTTGAGCACCTTCTGTATACTAGGAATGATTCAAATTTCTGGAAGTGCAATGGTGAGAAAGATCAATATGATCTTTGTTCTTGCACGGAATTTTAATTCTATAGAGGCTGGACAGATGGTACACAAACAAGGATAATTTCAAATACAGCTGTCATAGCATCATAATAATAAGTTAGTAGTTAATGTTTATTGAGTGATTCCTGTGTGCCAAGAACTCTTTGAGTTTGATTGACACTGTGTGCTTGGTTTGCATGGATCATCATTTAATCTTCACACCATCGCTCTGATGTAGGTAGCATTAATGCTCCCATTTTAGAGATGAAGACATTGAGACTCAGAGATGAGAGATGTCCAAGGTTACATAGCAAATGCATAAGGGAGCTGGATCTGAACCTAAACTGATCACACTCACCACCCTGTATCATTCCATTTGTTTATCTTTTCTACCAACTTGGGACCTCAAGGGCAGGAACCACACTTTATCTGTTTTTGTATCACTGCCAGCCAGTAGTCACAACCAGTCATCTGGTAAATATTAAATAAACAAATCCAGGCTGTTCTTGAGCAAATATTTGAGTGCCTGAGCAAGGTGGACCTAAAACATAGTGTGTGAGCCAGTAAATAAATGGCAAAGTTTATTCCAGATTGTGGCAACTGCTGTAAATGGAAAAAAGCAGTGGTAACCTGAGAGACTCTTATGTGAAGATGGCCTTGGAAGGCAAGAGAGGTGGTTTAAGCTGAAACTTGTTGAGTGATAAGAATCCAGTCCTGCAAGAGGGAAAGGGAGAGAAGTGGGGAGGCAGAACTTTCCAGCAGGTTTGGAGCCTGAGAGTAGGCTAGAAGCTGGAACGCTGGGGCACTGAAGAAATGTGTGACTGTGCTGTGGTTCAGTCCTGTGTGCAGGGTCCTGGGCCCTGACCCAGCTTCACCACTGATGGAGCTGCATATCAAGGGCCAGTTACGTTAGTGGTCTAACTGGACGGATGTGGACAGTGGTACCTTTTCAAAGAGCTGTATTGTGTGGATTAAATTAGAGAAAATGGAATACGTTCTGAGTTTTCTTGTTACATATGTTGCTGAATTCCAGTCAGAGGAAACTAAGCAAATTTGGCCCCAAATGGAAACTTATTTAAAATGCTTAGTAGTAACAAAAAAATCCAGTGTGTTACAGACAAAATTGAAGGTGTCTTCGTGTATTTCTATCTTTGTGGGGCAGGGGGAGGGGGACAAATCTTATTTTTCCTTCATGTCTTTAAGAGTTGAACTTCTTCAGTGGGGATGTAATGTTTTTCCAACCACATTATGCAACTGTCTATTCAGAGCATTTTAAAAATTGTTTTAACCCCAAAACTATTTGTGTCCTTCCATTACATGTATTTGCATTTTTTAAGGCATTCTATGGAAATAATAGGCTTCAGATTCTAGTTTGTGGTCATTTCAAAATTTGTTTGCAAATGATTTGGGGTTTCCTCTGAAAGTTTCAAAATATCGTTGCATTATTTTTTATGTCCTGCCTAGTCAAAGCAGGTCATTGAATGCTTTAAAGTAAGTAACAGACTTTTTAAATAGGTGAAAATAATACGATGTTTGGGCTCATGAACACGAAAAATTACAGAGGCAGTAATAAATCGAGCGAACTATGCAAGATCAGTGATGTCAAGTTTTGCTTTAAACTGTGTCCAGTAACCAGATGGCACATGTCATCGGAAGATATAATCCAGCCCAGCAAATGGAGCACAGAACTGGACAGGGAGTGGCATGTCGATGCAGTGTTAAACAACAAGCCCTGAATCAAACTGCTATTTTAGGTCTGGGTGGGACCGATGCATTTAAAGTATTGCGGTTTTGCTCTGTGATTTGTGTCTTCTGGGCTCCAGTAAAGAGTAGGTGGTAACACTAGCTTTGAAGGATGATATAAAACTGCAGGCAGAGCAAGGGCACACTGATTTGTTTTTCAGTCTGTTTTATTTCAGTTCAAAGTGCCATCGCAGACAGGCAGCGCAGGAAAAAAGAGCCACACTTTGGCAATATTCAACTGCTTTTGGAGATTGGAGGAGAACTAAGTATAACCAAAGTGTGGCTTGTTTTCTTGGACTGTTCGCAACGATGCTTTGAATTGAAATAAAATAGATCAAAAAACAAATTGGTATCCCCTGTTGCCTCATACTGAGTATTTACATACCCTTCTGGAGCCCTGCCAGTCCCAACACCCTGGGGGGCAGGCGGTGACCCCTCAGCCTCCTTCAGCTCTTCAAGAGAGTGAGTTCTTTGATTTTTACAAGGACATTGAATTGGAATATATGGTTTCTGGATCTCCAGTAGCTTGCCTTCTAAAGTCATCATCTTGATTATGTGGAGAAAGCAAGCTATAACCACATAGAGGAAAAAGTAAATATTGAGGACATTTAAATTCAGAGAAGAGATTGTTACTGTTTTAAAAGCCGCGCAAAGGGTGCAGTATTTCATTTGCAGAGAGCACGCAGTTTGAAGACTCCTGCAGACATCATGGGAGAGAAGGGTAAGGAAAGAAAGCTAGCGTACTACACTTCCCTAATGCCGTTAGCCTCCAAATCGTGTTGTTGGATCCTGAAAGTCATGACACCAGGTATTCCATTTCCTCAGCTGTGTCACAGTGGATCCACATAAAGCAGGGACCTAATCTGGGCTGAACGGTCCAGTTGCAAGGGATCCATGAACCCTTGAACTTCACCTAGAAATTTTGTGGGTGTCATTTTTCTGGGGAGAGAGAGCCCATGGCGTTAATCAGATCTCAGTCCTTGATCCCTCAAAGGATGCAGAGCCAACAATGAAATGTCACATCACCATATCAAAGTAATAACAAGGCTTCTCCTAAAAACAGTTTTCTGCTGCTGCGGGGCCTCGATCTCAGAGTTTTGAAACTATCTTTCCAGGGTTTGTTTCCTGCCTAAAGCGGTTAAGCGTAGTGGAGTGGTCATTGAGTGGTCACCTGTAATAGAGATGTTTACCCAGTGAAGTGCTTCAGAAATCCCTTGGAGGCCCTTGTGTGTCCCTGTTCTACATGAGGCTGTCAAAATGGGGGAGATCTTCTTGGCACCCTCGTTACCAGACACCGTATCTGTTTCTTCTGACAGGTGGAGGGCAGCCTGATTCTTGGCTCTAGGCATCAGCTTGTGGCAGATGGATTCAGTTCCTTGGCATTAGGAGAACGCGGTTGAGTGGAAAAGAGGAGGAGAGGGATGGACTCAAGGAGGCAGAGACGGAGCAGTAGATGAGGAGAGGATGCTGCCCCGGCATCTGTCTGGGGTCCCTCTGCACCTGGGCAATTAAAGGGCTTTTCTTTGAAAGCAAGCTTATCACAGAACCTTTCTATCATTACTAGGACATCTGGGAAAGTCAATTCATAGATGTAATTTTTTATTTTATTAGTACTTGAAGGGAAATAAAAGGAAGGAAATACCTTTTAAATCTTTCTTAGGCTATTTTGTAAAAATGGCACCTCAGTAGAGAACTTCTGTGGGCCAGAGTTGATTGGCCCATACAACATGTAACAGTTAGTTGCATGCATTTAAGCACCGGAGGTTTTACGTCTGTCCGACCTCTGTTGGTATTTGGATGCTTGGCCACTGCTAAAGGCCCCAGAGTTCGGTTCTGGGACAAATAATAGAAATTCTACTTCTGACTCTGAGAGAGCACTGCAGGAA